TGCTGTGAAGATCTGCATTTCCCAGTCTGCTACAGTGGGGCAACAACTTTTTGTTTTCCTTTTTTTTTTTTTTTTCCTTTTTTCCCTCCAAGCAGATCAAAATCCACACATTGTCTTTGGGTTTTCAGGAGGGAGGGGAAAAAAAACCCAAAAAACAAAACAAAACACGCCACATAAAAGTTAGGGCAAACTTTCAGTGGTTATTACTTTTGTTTTCCCCTCATTTGGTCTGCCTGCATGTGTGGGAACACACACATTTATATTTATCTGCAGTCTTTCTGCAGACTGTCTTATGGGCAATGGATGGATCATTCACATGATCGCAGTTTATAACACCACGTAGGCTGTAAGATACAGACTCACAAGAATCAAAGTGACTTGCCTACTACAACAGAAAAAAGCAGTCAGCAGAGTTGGGAAGATGGCAATGAATAATTTGGGTAACCTTTCCTGTCTAGGTAGGGGAGGATGGGCCACGTTTCTCTGCAGACCTGGAGGTTTTGGTTTGGGGTTGTTAATTTTTCTGCAGAGCACGTACAGAAAGGGCAAGACAGGCAAGCACTAAAAGCAATCCAGCTTCTTTCATAAATCAGCAGGATACAGTATCCAGTTGTTTACTTAGCATAATTTTACACAGACTAGACTGGACAAGTCATGAAACACTGGGCACAAGAGCTGAGAAATGCTGCTATTAAAAAGGCATGCGGAAAACTTTCCCAAGGGATGCCAAGAGTGTGTGTGGGAAGAGGTAGGAGGAAGAAGCAGCAGCGTCAGGGGTTATAACAAACAGAAAAGAAGCGATTATGTTTTTCCCTCAAAATCAGTTACTCAGCCTTTCAAAGAGAAAAGCATTGCTGGAAGGGGAACACAGGAGTGACCCTGGAAACGAGCGTGCAGCTGCAAAGAAAACCTCCAAAAGAGTTAAGCAGAGTCAAGCCGTCTGTTTAGGGTGTAATGCAAGTTAACAGCACAGATGCAGACAGATTTGCCAAGTAAGCTTTGTTAAGGTTTTAAATGTTATTTGCTTCACAAGAACATGGATTCTTCTAACTAAACGGTGACTGGCAAATCTTAACAGCGTACTTGTGTTGCATCTGATAACATCAGTCACGGCTCACTTGGTGTGCTGCACACCAGTACGCAGCAAGGAGCTCATGGAAACCTAACAGCATGGTCAGCGAGCGGAAGGGGTCAACACAGACTGAGCAGCACCTTCTCCAAAACAATGCCCCAGAAGGAACAGAGACCCTACAATAAAAAGATTAAAGACAGACTACAGGAGCCTCTCAAATAACGCCTTCCCCCACAACATGCGTGCAGCCTGAGATTCATCCTACATATGTACATTTTGGAAAATATTTTTTAAAGCATGTATACGCTGATAGTTCGTGTTGTTCCCCTTTTATGGTCATTGGACTCATTCCAACAACAGAATAGCTTTCAATTGATGAGGACTGGTGCTTTTTTGGTTTTATTTGTTCTACGCCCCAGTGAAATTTTTTCACCCTACACGTGCTCTAGCTTCACCCTCAGAAAGTGAAAACAGGACCTACGTATGCACCATTCTGTAGGAAGACTTACAGATCTTTAGATCCTACAGATACTTTAGTGCTTGCTTTAGTGCTGTAGCACTAAAAACATCTATAGAAACATCTATAAAGATCCATACAATCTTCCAGATCTTTTCTTAATTTGTTTAGAGAGGAGGAAAGTGGAAGAGAGACAAAACTTTTATGCACATCAACACCCCCCCAGTGTTTCAGGCAGCAGTACTAACTAGTCATAATATATTCAAAGATCAAGCTGATATCTTCAGCCCACCTCCTCTTTTCTCATCCTTACCATCATTCTTTTCAAAATTAAAATCTGAAGAGAAAACCACAAGAAAAGCTGAGAAGGATGAAGCACATTTCCACAGTGCCATGTTCATTACAGAGCTCTAAAGCTTCTTCCAGCGTCTCTAGTCAGAGGTTATACTACCTGTTTTCTTCATGCCAACAAAAACTTTTTAAGGAAAGCCTTCGCTCCGACATCCCTCTCCTTTGGATGATCAAAGCTTTATAACCCAGAATTGATGTAACTTTGCTGATCCTGAGCAATGTGTGAATTACAGAATCAGGGCCTTGAAAACTGAAAATTTGAGGCGTGCCCACAGAGCGTGCCAACACATTAGGCTTTCTAATTTGTTAAGCATTTGGCAAAGCAAGCACTGGATCAGACCTATCCCAGAAGAAAGTAAGTCTTGTGTCTATTCTCAAGGCAGGTTAGACAAAACAACCAGATATCCTCCATGGCAGCACCACTTACCGTTGAAGCAGAACGGCGTAACACTGCCAGTAAAACATGCACAGAGGCACAAATCCCCTCGAGCTTCAGCAGCCGCTCATCAAAAAATCACAATTTCAGTTCTGTACAAGTTTCCACTCAAGCCTCTTTCCCCATGGGCATGGACACAGATAGCTGCCATTAGCCTACAAGAGCGGCTGCTATAACTATAGCTCTTGAAGGAGGTGGAGAAGGTAGATGTGAATCTGTGGTTCCTTCAGCATTTCTTTCGAGGCAGTGCTGAGGGTGGCATCGCTGCCCCCTCTGTCCCCATGTTTTCTCCTCCCACCATCCCTATAAGCTGTAGTGAGCTAGAACCAGGATGGAGCTGCACAGTCTGCCAGCAAAAGGAGATGTTCATGAAACCATCCCTTGAGGAACTGAAGCCATGGCTTGATGATCTCTGGCAGCAACGTCAACTTGAGCTACTACCCTCTCTCCCCCACGGCCATCAGCATCTCTTTTCCAGTCTCATGCCACCTTCTTCATAGCGACAGCACAACTGTTTGTAATGTCGTGTGCTCAACTAGATCAACGAACTGATCCAGGTTATAAATATCTGAAAAAAGGAAAGAGGGGAGTGAGGGTATTTTTAACCTGGAACCAGGGCCAGTTCACTGATCCAGGTCATTATCTGGCCCTGGGGCAGTTGTGTCAGCACAAGTGTTTGGAGACAGACAAAGAACCAGCAAGCAAGAGTGGACAGGAATATCCTACAGCCACATCTGCCACTGAGAAAATGGGACATGCAACAGTATCACCCATGCCTGGTGTTAAAAAGTGGAGCTGACTTAGCACGACTTGGAAGAATTTACACCACATTTTTAGCCACCGCAGGCTCATTAGTTTGAAGCAAAAACACATGAGCTCCACTGGTAGGAACGACAACACTTTTAAGCTGCATGGGCCTAATGTCTCCAAACTCCTCCCTCTGACTGCCCTTCATCCCCTAAAAAAGTATAAGCTTGTGAGATAAAAGATACAGAGTGCCAATATACAACTAGCTTTTTGAAACCAGCCAAAAATTACAGAAAGTTTCAAAACATAAGCCACCTCCCACACCATGAGCTCAGCCATACTATAGGCAGCATTTTTCAATCGTTTTCCTTGTGCTGTGCAACCTCTGCACTACAACTGTTTGTGATTAATATATACTATTAAAAACAGAGGGAGTGTGCAGTACAGCCAATCTTAATGTCATGGAAGAAGCCTTTGTCATGCACAGTCCAGCAAGCTGCCCTGTGTAAAACTGCTGCACGAATGGAAACTTTTGCTGTGCAAAGAACATTCACTGGATGTCGATGCACCTTCATTCTTCTCTGGTTTGTGTGCTTGTTAGCTGCAGCGAAAGAGCACTGTCTCCTCATGAAGGCAGCCTTTGAAAATCTACAGCTGAAAACTGATTTTTATCAGGCCACCTTACAAAGTAAGAATGCCTAGCCCTTGGCAGACACAAAAGCTTCAGTTAGAGAGCAGCAGACACGCTGCCCATCCATCCATCACAAGGAGATTCAGAGATATGACTGAAGTCCTATCGGTTGACCTAACCCTGCCTTCTTGCTTTCTTCCCTCTCCTGCCTGTTTATCCATTACACCCCAGCCACTTGCCTAGGAGTTTGTGTCCAAGGCCATTTTTACTTGTTGGCACCTATACACACGCTAAAACAGAAAACATTTTTCAGCAACACCCCTGTAGCACTTTTGCTTAATATAACCAGCTCGCCAAAGAACCCCTGCTTTGTACATTACATTAATGTAAATTTTCCCTTAATACCTATATAAGATTGAGGAGTTCAGAAAAGTAAGACACTTGGTTTGAAAAGGCACAACCTCTCTTCAGAAGTGTTATATCAGTCCAGCATTGCAGATATCACACAGGAGGATCTCATTCAATTTTAAATCTGAAGCTGTTGTGTTAATTTGCAGATGTAACTCTACTCAACACAAATGGAATCAACAGGGGAAAACCCATGCTTTTCCTTATCTCTTTTGAAGATTTAAATTAAACTGATTGCTTTTTGAACAGCATAAACTGCAAGACATCTAAGGATTCAAATAAGGGCATATATTATTTTATCTCTTTGGCTGGGTTAATTTCCCATCTTTTCCATGTAAAGCTCCACAGTAAATCCCCCGGGTCAGCTGCAACTACTACTTTTCATTGCTGAATTCTGCCAGCAATCTGCTCATCGTTCCTGCAGATGTTTCTGCTTTCAGGCTTCTGAGAACTTTATTGGACCCATTTCCTTTGAATAACTGTATACTCTTCTTAGGCTGCAAATGTACCGAGAAACAACTGTCTTCTATGTCAAGCAGCCTCCTCACCTTCTTTTTTGGTAAAAGCAAGATGACACATTGAATAGAAAAAAGTGGAAAGCAGGGAAACAGACTTTTTTCCCTCTTCTGAGAAATTTCTGAAAAGGGAGTGCTATGTGTGCTATTATGTCCTAGGACCAGCCAAAGCAATCTGTGAAGGCCAGAGGCCCCTGCACACAAGTGCACAGAAATTTTGTAAAGGGCAGATGGGCTTGAGAGGTCAGGTCTTGCAAACAGAAAGCAAACAATCACAGGCAAGGACCATGCCCTTCAACATAAATATGAGGCAAGCCATATGCCATCTCTCATTCTTAAATTTCACCTGTATTGTTAATAAAACAGAATGTTCCTCTACTCACCTCGGTAACATCCATGACTTTGATGGCTGCCAGCTGACCTGTTTTGACATGCCGACCCTGAAGAAGAGAGAGAACTGTTAGCACCAGTGTCTTTATCAATCCCTTCAGCACACATGGAGCAAAACATTTGGATGAGAGCTCCAGCCACTGGGTTTTCCCCAGCTGTGCTGGACCCTTCTGATACTTCATATGAAAAAACAACAAATACTCTAGATGGCTGAAAAAAAAAAAGTTTATCTTTAAAATGTTCTTACATAAATCTTAGAACCCATTTATTTTTCTCAACATTAAAAGGATGATTATCAACATTAAGCACACACAGATTACATTCGCAGCTTCCCTTATGTTTACTTCAGCAAAGCTCATAGTCAGTACTGATAGTTTATTAACATGCCAGAATATTTAAACTCCACGTATTGCATATTTTATTTCCATGCACCAGTGCCTAGTACCTGGCTGATATTTTACTGGGTAAATGCAAGCAGGCTTAGAGGGTTGCAAAAGGACATCTCTCTCTGTTTTGGTCTCCACTAGTAAAAAAACAAACAACAAAAAAGTGAAGTTTCTTCAAGTGATGCATCAGACCTGCAATATCTCTCTCTGCCTGTCTCACGATAGCTAGACAAGAACAAGACGTCGTCTCCCTTCAGCTACGCCACCAGAAGGGTACGGTTTCTCAGTACAGCTGGAGCTGAATTAACAGATCCCAGCTCCTGCGGCGGGGAGCTCCTACCCGTCCTTCCCCTGCCTCCCTCCAGCCTCCTGTCACAGATTTCTCCCAGGAGCACTGAGCTCGTTCTGGCACTCATCGGATCATATGATAAGCTGATTGAGATCAGTAAAATGGCAGAAAGTTAACACGGAAAAAGCAAAGTGTGGGGCGAGGCGGGGGACTGCGGATCAGGAAACTGAACTGGTTTGCTCGGCAGCGAGAGCAGAGGCAGCGCTGGCAGAAGGCGGATGGCCCGGCTGGCCGGCTGGCTGGCAGCACAGAGGGCCCCTCCAGCCCTGGGGGGCTGTAACTGGCCTCAGCTGACTTCTGACAAAAACCTTTCTTTCCTCCAGTATATTTTTACATGAGGTGGGGCCGTATCAATTAGCTGCTCTGCATTTTTTTTCTAAACAGGCACTTAGAAATGTTCCTAGTACTGGTTCCTAGTATTTTCCAGCTCACCACTTAATACCCAGCAGTCCGCCCTGAGCCTTCCAGCCAAGCAGCCTGGTCTCCCAGCCCCTTTCCCAAGAACTGTCCCCAAAGGTTCTTCCCTGGATCAGCCAAGCTCTCCAGCAAGAGGTATGCCCACTACGCTTCTTCACTTTCATCACAAATCATGATAAAAAACACAACAAAACATTTCACTGAAGTGACAGTTCCTTTACCTTTCTCCTCACCAAGTTCTAAGTTTCCTAGGCCAAAACCTACACACAGCATTCACTACAGCTGATGGACATTACTAGTATATTTTTTTTCCTGGACTAACTTCTTAATGTCTTTACAGATTCTTTTGAGACTGGCACTCCAGAACTGAAGCACCCCAATCCACTAATCTCTTTGGAGAAATCTTGACCCCTTACGATACCCTCCATGGAGGTAATGGCCCAGGTACTGCTGGTGCATCAGAAAGGGGGAAATGCTGCAGAACTCACAGCCTCCACTTTCTTTCACAACTCATATTGTGCTGCTCTCTCCCCTTGTTAACCAGTCCACATGCTTTCTATAAATAAATTACTGCACTCGGGCTTCTGCCGGCTCTGTAAACTCCCTTTATTGTATGCATTTCTTTTTACAGCTTGGTCTCAAGCTGGTTTCAATTTTGAAACAAAGTTAGGGTAGTAACTTGTGCAGTGGCCAAGACTGACCTCAACTCGACCTTACTACCTCTTGAACCAAAGCCTTTCAGCAAGCCCAGGAGAGATGCAACTCCGACCTCCCACCCTGGACCTCTGCCTAATGACAAAAGCCTGTGGCCTTCTCCTCAAGACTTACCATCCCACCAAGGGAGGAGGGAAAAATAGCACCTACATAGAGGTAGGTGCTCCTATTTTCCACAGCTCTGTGGAAGGAACTAAAAGACCTGAAGACGTGGGGAAGCACAGTTTGAGGTACAAAAAGAATATGCTAAAGAGAGGAACAACAACATCTCAGAGGAAAAAAATCTCACAACGCTAAGGAGGACTGAGGAAGAAAAAACTTCTTAAAAAACCAGTGAAAATACGGTTCACCATTCATTCTGCAAAAATGTGGCGATGCTAAAATGGTGGCAGAACATACTCCAAGCAGAAAAAGTGGCACACAGAAGAACGAAGTAGCAAGACATCCACGGAATGCCACATATTTTATGGAAAGTTTATGGAAAGTTTCCTCTATTTATCTTTTTTAACTTCCAAACTACTGGTGGGCTTGCTATTTCCAGCGAGAAGGCTGAAATTTCCCAGGGCTCAGCTTCACAGCTTTTCTCCAGGCGCCGTTCCTCCTTGTGAGACTGGCCCACTCGGATGACTAATGTGCACCAGCCCAACCACCCTGCCCCTGCAGCCGGTGCCTCCACTAGTCCCTACCAAAACCTGGGCCACGACAGCTACGGCAGAGCACAGCGATTGCTCGTGGTTCGCTGGGGCAGCAGGGATGGGAAAAGCTCCTCCATAACCCTCCTAAGGGACTGGGGAGCAAGGGAACTGCAGACTGTGGGAAGTGTGGGATGCTCAGTATCCCAGGCCAAATTTAAACCCTGGTCATTTCAGAATACGGTTAAAAATTACTCCAAATACCCTTTTCATAATGTATGGAGTGTATCTACAACATATATGGGGGAGGTTGCATGACATTAATTTATATGAGAAAAGTAAAAGGACATTTTGAAGCCACATTCTTTTCATTAAAAACACTTTTAGAGAGAGGGGAAAAGCAAACATCACAAGCACAAAATATAAGCATGAGCAGAGTTTTTGTTTGTTTGTTTATCAGCTTAACAGCTCTGCTCAAGAACAGACTTGTCAAACTATTAGCATGCTGCTATAATTTTGCTTGCAACATGAAATGGCTAAGCATTCCTATTTCGGAAACCGATCTTCAGATTTTTCATAGACAGTTTTTGCTTTGGAAAAATTTGTCCACATTAAAAATAATAAGAATAAAATCGAAAAGTGGTTGAATGCGATGAAAGCGCTACAGAAGTCATAGATGGGAGAAATCCTCTGAACTCAATCTCCTGGGATTAAAATTTATTCAAATCCAACTCCCAGGGCACTTCATAACTGTGGTAACCATTAAGGCCTCATCCAGACACCATCTCACCATCACCACCAGCTAACACTCCAGTGGGACAGCATTTTTCTTGTAGAAGGAGGCCCCTTTTTTAGTGCTGTCTGGAGTCGTGGCCCCTCGGGGCGTCCCAGGCTCCCCCATCCCCAGGATTCCTGGACAATCTTGCAGCTTTGTTTCTCACAGCAAATTGTCGGCAATTACTATCTGAATATCTGACAAATGTCGCGAGACTGCAAAACACAACCCATGCTGACTGAAAACAACAGTTTCTTAAAATATTGCTAGATACCAAGTATCAGATGCTGGGGATCACAGGGTAACTGCCACCCAGCCCGAAGGTTAAGTACGGATATGAAATACACAATGACGATGACAGGAACCTAGATGCATCTTGTTAAGCATAAGATGACTGTCTCCAGAGCCAATGGACTGAGAAGGCCGCAGAGGTCGCACTGCGTAGCAGCAGTAGCAGAGGTTACATCATCCCAGGAGCGAGAGCTTGCCCCTTACCAGATCTTGGGGTGGTGGCCACGACGAAACATCAACACTGTCAGCTGAGTCTGGCTCCCACCCCACGGAAAAGTGCCCAACAACAAATTCCCTTCATTTAGACCATGTTAAGATTTTATCAACTATAATTTCCAAACTGCTTGTCCTTTCCTTATGCATCCTCTCCTCCTTTCTTTCCCTCTTTTCATATTAAAGCACTTGTTTATCCTCCCAAGGAAGTAATGTAAGAAAATTTTTTAAGACCACTGCTGCACCATTTTATTTTTAGATGGCCTGTTGGGATGAGCAAGTCAATGGAGTTGAGCCTGCTGACCCCAAATCTTGTCCTGTTTCTTCTCATGTGGACGACAGAAAGTTCGTTTACATATGGAGGGTTTTAAAATACAGCTCTTCTCATCAACATAGCAACACTGCAGCATTTAACTGGATCTTAAACTGAATTCACTACTTAAGCATATTCCCAGTCATGTCTGATACCAATATGCTGTTGATTTCTCATCTCTGTGGGCTTTCTGCATGTTGAAAAGAGGGGACAAGGAGAATCCTTGGTAGTCTGCCAAGATCTGCAGAACATTATAAATTTCAAGCCTACCCACGCTCTCCAAGTCAGTTAATACACCTACTTCTTGCCTCTTTCCTCCTCTGCACACATTATTACTGTAAAATTTTTGTTTGGGAAAGGTTCAAAGGCAAGTGGTGCTATGTGCTGTTTTTCATGGTGCTTTTTTTTCCCCTAAGAAGCCTTAATGTTATCAAAGAACTATGCAAATTAAATGCAAAAGAAATCCTATCAGCTCATTTACCTCCTTCACCCACTAATTATCCAAGATATGTAATCCACAGTAATGTAATTCCCCTACTAACACATTTTCCAGCTTGTGTATTAATGAGCCTTTTGGGGGGACGGTTCCTGGAAGCTTGCTCCCCAGCTAAAGGGCACGAAAGTGGAATATGGGGCAACATCACTCATGACTTGCAAGGTTGGATTATCCTGTGCACTGTACACCATTAAGTCGTTGGAAAATTTTCCAACCTCCCAGTATCCTATGCTGACAGTTCTGGAAAGAAGAGCAACTGAGTTGGAAAATAATCTACTAATTCACATTTCAACTGCTACAATGTACACAGAAGCAGCAGGCGAGATTTAAACATGCTATCAAGTGAAAACTCACCACAGTACCACCTCTTAGCAGCGCTGTACAATACCCCCATGCCAAAATTAACTTTTCAATTTGCTTCTCATTTAGTTGATTTTAAACTTCTACCAGCCTCAGGCAATAGG